TTAATCTGTCATTTTATATATTAATCAATACACAAAACTGACGAGATTTAGATTCTCATCACTTCACTAACCACTTATTTACCTGTACAATCATATTTATTTAAACCTATTCCTGTGTGTGTTTATACTAGAAGGTCAAAAGATTCATATGAACTGCACATAACGCGAATGCAAATAAAAAATTTTGATTGTACAATTTTTTCTTTACAATTTGTCTAATGGGTTGACTTGTTTAATAACGAGAAGCTACTCTCTCCGGAAGTAAGGCATATAAATAAAATTTTTCTAGGGCTCTATCATATTATTTTGCCAAAATTTATCATCTCTAACGTTCGGTTAGTCTAAAGGATTTTTCTGCGCACCATTCTGGATTATTTCGTTCGCCAATCGTGTTTTGTTCGACTAGAAAGACATCGACGTTTGAAAGTTTTTTGAGAAATAGTTTTTGCGCTATGACATGTGAGGTATTTCAATTGCCTCGTTAGATACATCGTCGTCCGAGAACTTGTATGATCCACAGACCGGAGCGCGCTCAGGCCAATGTCGACTCTATAAGCCTCCAGAAATTCTGCGGGAAATAGTTATTATTTAGATGCTTTTGTTTACACACATCTCACATGTTTCACTCGATTTTGACATGCAACTATTTTTTTGTTTAACTAAGAATTAATTCTTTCATTGCGTTTGATACTAACGCCTAAATTAGCAATACTAGTGGAACAGTAATCATGCAATAGATTTTTTTGGGATAGTACAGTTTTTTTTTTATGTTTTTGCAGCAATGTGTTCTATTTTCTATTAATTTTTACATATTTTTAGTCACAATTTTGGTAGTTATTTTTTACTTTTATTTTTAGCAATAATAAATAGTCCAAACATGAAAAAATCAAACAAATAAAAATTGGAAAATCTAAAATTTAGAAATCGAGAAATTGAACAATCCTATAATAGAAAAATCGAAACATCGAAAAACTGGAAAATCGAAAAATTAAAAAAAAAGGAAAATCAGAAATATGCATAGAAGAACTAAAAACTCGAGAAAGTGAAAAATCTAGAATTTTAAAAAATGAAAAATTAAAATATGGAAAAGTTGAAAAATTGCGAAATTGTATCATTGAAAGATCGGACAATTGAAAAATCGAAAAATAAAAAAATGGAGAAATCGAAAATTTGAAGAATGGAAAAATTGAAAATGTCAAAAATTGAAATATTGAAAAATTGAAAAATCAAAAGTTGAAAAACCGAAAAATCTCAATAATGTATTTATAAACCACAAGTTCAGGATTACGCTACTAAAAAATTGATAACGTCATCTCAAAATTTTGCCGAATAAATTCTACTAAAAATGTGCAAAATATGATGAGTTTTTACTTGTAATTTATCATTGCATTCATATTTTTTAGATTTGCTTATATACCTAGGTGGCTCAAAAAAATTAATGAATGAGTCAATTTATTCTACTGATTAAATCAGGAACGACTCACTCCATTTTCCCAGAAATTTTGGGAATACTGTTATTTTTAGTCTAATCCACAATGATTTACGTGTCCTTGCAAAATGTTGATGATTTCATCACAAAATTGTGTACCTAAAGTAAAAATTTAACTCGAAAATGCTGGATATGTTTCATTGTATTTTAGGTGCGAGGGAAGTTCTGTCGAAACAACTTTCCACCGATTTTTTTGCTGTTATATTTGAACATAAACAGTTTATTTTATATATTTTTAAAACATTATAAAGAAAATAAAAAGTTATGTTAGACTGAACCTTGTGGGTTTCTCATTCTATTTTCCGCAGCATTTTAAACTTTCAACTCAATTTCTTTCAAAATACATACAAATGGATTTCGATGGTTATTTCTCTGTACCCTTCATTTCAAAATAAATAAGCTTATCTGGTGTTGTTTACCGATTTGCATTTTATGACGGACTCCCTACAGTGATCATAATCTCTCCTCTCTTGGGTCGCTACCTTCCGTGGATCGGTACTTTGGGTTGCATAGTTACAAAAAATAATTCTTCTCACTGGAAACGATTTTGCGGGCGACGACTGCGGACCCTCAATGAAATGTCTGCTAATTAATTGAGTACGGATCTCTCACTATCTGTCTATATCACTTTATTAAAATGAATAGTAAAATTTGGGGCGATTGTGGAAATAAGATAAACACTCCCTGATGAAGTATCCAATTTAATTTAATACAGAGTCATCAAAATTGATTGAGAGAGTTGGTAAACCTGAACTTGAATAATTTGGTTTATTAAGTTGTATAAAAATATTAGCTGTCAGATTTGAAGTTTCAAGTATCAAATTTCAAAACTCAGTGGCGTCTTTTTTCAATTTTTTTTTTGGTAAAAATATTAGTTGTCAGATTTGAAGTTTCGAATTTTTGTCACGCCACTGAATTCATTGCCATATAACCTTAAACAAATCTGTCATAAGGTTCACAAACTTCACGACAAAAACAGGGGGTACCAATTCTCTCAATCAATTTTGATGACCCTGTACTAACCGTCCACAGTCCAGTTATGTTCTTAATTAAATATAATTATTATTAAACGTCAAATTATCCGCCGCTAACACAAGGAAAAAATACTCAGAATCATTAACTTTGGATATAGTCGTACATCTTTTAGTATTGAACTTAAGTCGCTAATAACAATTTATTTCTTCCCAAAATCGGCAAAAGTTTGGTTTAACTAATTATTATCAAAGGAGTTAAAAAAAGAAAAACTGTAGAAATAAACAGTTTTTGTATCACGTTTTTAACATATTTGATTACACATTACTAATTATGAAAGGTCAAATATCTTTATCATTAATTGCAGGAGCCAGTGAAGTCATTTTCGGAATGAATATCTACTTTTCGTCAAAAAACAAGATAAAGGCTATTATAAATATTTGTTAATTTCAATATTCCGAGTTGTAAGATTTCTAAATACTTGACAATTATCACATTTCGCACAATCCAACAATTGTTTAAATGTCGACAAAACTAATAAATCCAAGACTAAAGCCATAAGCCATTAAACACGCTATTATCATAACGGAATTACCGCAATGATAACCCAACATTCTCCATTTTTGTCGTAAATACCAACCTTTCTAATAAAAATTACACGCTTTCTCAAATAACAACGATAACAAAAATTCCGCTACAATTTTCAGTCCAAATTTTCGAAAGTGTGTCAATGTTACTACTGCATCCATTGTTTGTGTTTTCTCCGTAATTATAGTAGCAGGCTATAAATTATGATTAACACACAAAGTAAATTATGCAAAGTTACTAATAATTTTATATGGGCTATAATTTCCTCGTTTAATGGGAAGAAGAAGACAGCGACTTTATTATCTCAGATAGAGATCTGAAATGCTCCATTAAAATCGCCGTAAAATATGTATAAAGGTAAAAGTTTTTATTACTTCTACATTCACAACATCCACACTAAGAAAAAATCGATGTTAAGCCGCTTCTACACTGCGCGCACTAAAAACTGCACCCCGGGTGTCGACAATTTCGACGAATGTGTCTATAAAACCTGACTTTAACGAGATGTTGAAAATTTTTATCGCGTGACGTCACACGATATCTCCATTAATCAGCTAAATATTGTCCATGAAATAAATTATACTCGCTTGATAAAATGAATCATTTTGGCGGAATTTTTATCTCTTAATAACCGCAGAACATCCGTTCGGTAAGGTGAAGGATGCGATGTGATTACAAAGAGATAGACGTTTTATTTAATTAGTGTACATTTTAATTTACTAAAACGTTTCGATTTAAATTATCATGTGTTACGTGGGATGTGTCTGTCCGAAAGATATTTTTGGACACTCTGACGCCGATAAAGGTCGTTATGCATTGATTCTTCTAAATGTGTTTAATTAAAATAATTTCTCATGGAAACTACCGATTACTTGAAAAAAAGAACCCGTCGTTAATGGTAATTACTGTGGGTATTTACGGTTCGACAATGTGTTATGTTAAGTTGTTAATAATTTTAGTGTATGCTACCTAAAGAACTATTTTACTTTAGTCTTAACTATACCTTATACATACACAGGTATCGCTAATCTTGATTTTTTTTAGTAAGTTTATATTGGACGCTTTGCTACTGTGTAAATGTTACGAAATAAACCCATACGGCGTCGATTACATTGTCACGATGAGTGATGACTCATCTCGACGGCGGAGTCCAGAATAACCTCGAAGTGGGTTTCTGGTTCAAAATTGCAAACTTCCAAAATCAAAGACTGTAAGACCTTGTACGGGTAGAACTACATCAGAACAAAATATCTATATTACATATATGTATTATGAATAATTGTTTTATTTTTATTTCACTTCAGCCTTATTTTTTCTTTTTGTATTGGTTAATTTTTCTCAATTCTTGTTTTCAGATGTTTGGTCTAATAAAACATGTTTTCGTTGTTGGTTCGTCCTACAAACTTAAGCATATACGATTATTTATATATTTACTAACTCAAAACCCAGTGCCAAGTAAATTGTATGACGTTTCTGTGGGTCCAAATAAATAAAAACAACGTGTCTTCAATGAAAACCATAATCATTCTAACCCCAATTTTTTTAGCAGCACATTTTGGCACCAAAAATCCCCCCAGACAATGTTGCCAGTTGAGTGGTATTTTAATTTTTGAACAGATAATATGCCAAAATACAAAGTTTCAAAAGGCAGCCGAGGGCGATGACCGCCTAACAACACTTTTGACTCTCCTAAACTTGTTGAGATTTTAACCCATTAATTTACCATTTAGTAACCAGTATCGACGGAGAAAGTAAAATTGTTACAAATTTCCTTCACATTAGGAGAAATTCGTCCGTAAGTCGAAAGAAACACGACACAATTTTTTTTCACCTTTGTAAAACTAACAACATTGACTTTTTGCTCCTGTTATATTAAATTTTTCTCCGTCATTACCATTACGTAATAACCACGTAAAACCCCGTCTAATAAACACCAAAAACACCCACCTACCTCTTTGACCTTATTCCTCCTTTCCCTTGCCACCGGGTCCGCGTCCTCTCCGCCCGCCACCAGCGGATAGTGGTCACTCGCCGCCGCTGCCACCGTCACCACCCCCGTATCCTGGGGCACATCTCCGACTTCCTCCCTCCCTACGTTCTCGTCCACCCTGGCCGTCGACGAGCCTCGCAACCCCGGCCTCTCCAGCACCTTCAACTCCCGGTCCTCGTCGATCTTCGCCTTCAGCTTCTCCCTGTCGTCCGCCACATGCGGGTCCTCCCTGACGTCCTCCTCGTGCCGCAGCAGCCGCTGGCCCTCCTCCTCCAGGTGCGGCGGCGGCGGGATGAGCAGCTCGGGCCCGGCCCGCTTGATCTGGTCATACACTTTGTATACGCTCTCCGAGGAGTTGCCGCGGAACTCGGGCAGGAAGAAGAAGGTGCCGAAACAGATGAGGCCGAAGGTGACGAACACGGAGAAGATGACGTACTTCTCGCGGGCGCGGAAGGAGCGGCGCGAGAACGGCACTGGCACCCCGTTAATAAAGCGCTGATACGTGGGCAGGATGCCCGTGGACGTCATTTTCGCGGCGTTTGCGAGAGGTTTGTATACGGAGAAGTGTTACGAGTGCCAAAGGCACGCCATTAATGAACTGACTGACAGATGGAAGTGTGCGAGAAGAGATCTGCGGAATGACGGGCGCGGTCGGTAAAACAGGCGGGTGTGAGTGGCGACATCTAGGGGTGCACCAGAAACGCGAAACCAAAAAATCGAAATCAGTAAGTAGACAACCAACCTTACACCTTCAATAAGTAAAACAACTTACTATTAACAAAAATGTTATTTTTATTTGTTCTTTATTAAAATTACAAAATCGTTTCACTGTCACGTCTTCCCTTTTCCACACACTCTCCTCACGTGTTTCTGTAAAGCATGTTTCGTCTTTCCTTTAAACCCACAACCTTCACACACACACCACTCGATTTTTGCAGGATCTGTATGCCTATGCAACAAATGTTCTTTTAAACTAAACTTCCGAATCGTCTTAAACTCACAATAATCACACTTAAACCAATCCGACTCCTCTGTGGAATGCGTCTTCAAGTGGACATTAAACTGAAACTTGTGTATGCCTCTAAACGCACAATGTGGACACTGAAAATACTTCCCGCTTTCAGCAATCCCGTGTTTCTTCAAATTATGCGAAACTAAATCTCGTTTGCGCTTCGTTTTAAAAGGACAAACCGCACATTTGAACCAACGAATTTCTTCTTCCGATACATGGTTCAGCTTGATGTGTCTGTTCAGGATGTATTTTTGTTTACACTTGTAATTGCAAAAATCGCAATCGAACCACCTGACTTCCTCGGGATTAGGATGTCGTACTTTGGCGTGCCGATTTAAATGCGCTTGTAACTTAAATTTGGCTGCGCATTGTTCACATTCTAACCACTGGATTTGATCTTCAGATGTATGTTTTAGTAAAATGTGAGACTTCAATTCTGCGTTATATAAAGCAGAGTACGAACACTGTGTACACCGGAAACGGCGCTCTCTTCCTCTTCTGCTGCGTCTTTTCCTCGATTTTGGGAAATCTTTTCCTTCAATGTAAATTGATGCACGAACTTGTGCTAGTTTAGTGTGTTGGGTTAGAACATGCATGGGAACATCGTTCTTCCAGTGAGTGGTGTACAAACACCATTTGCACTGGTAGACCCCAAAGGCGTAATGTTTGGTGAGGTTGGAATGGGAAACCGTGAAGAGAGTATGTCTTATCAACAAAAACTTAGAGTAACTAGTAAAGTCGCACTGGAGACACTTGTAAATTAGTTGATGGGAGTCTTGTTGTGTGTGTTTTTCTGAGAGGTGCTCTCGAAAGCGTGTCAGCAAATTGGTCTGGAAAGTAGGGCAAACTTCGCACTCATATGGCGGTATGTAACCTGTACACGTGAATGGTCGCTTGAGGGGCTCTATGACTTGTGTACACATTTTGAAGTTGGATCCATTGGAACTGCAAAAGTGAGGTTAGGTTACATTGTAAAAATAGTAATAATTGTGACTACCACACAACAAATTCATCTGTACAATTGCTGTTAGTCTTCTGGTGTCACAATGGTGAAAAAATGTACGGATCTAAAGTAAAATTAATCTAAAAAAGCTAGGTTATGTTTATTGTTCACAAAAAACAACAAATAGTGGATAATTTTTGGTGCTCGAAAGATATTTTTAGTCGAAATTGATTTGGTCGTAGTTAATTATGTGTACACTAGTGTGAAACACTTGAAAACAATATCGTAAACAATGTAACAGAAAGTGAGGTTATGTTAGTTTGTTGAAAAAAAAAAGTTAATTTAATATTTTTTTTCAGCTTTGCCACATAAATAATAGCAAATTTCGCTGCTCATGTACTTTAAAAAAGCCTGGTTAATACCAACTCGTTCGTTAAATAACTATTAACGGTATATTCAAAAACAAGCTTCATAAGACGTTATTATAGAGTACGAATCCCAAAATTCAGGATGCTCCAAAGTGTCTCATGAAACGCGTATTTAATAGAGACTTACATTGGGCGAAATATTTATATTTCATGTGTCATTTTGTATTGTTGGTTGCCTAATAACATCCTGAAACTGTGCTGAAATAATAAGAAATGAAATTAATAGTAAATATATAGTTATAAATAATACAATGATACCATTCTTTCGTAAGTAATAAGTCGGAATGGTAATTTTTTCAAATTTCTCTTTATTTAATTACGGTAGTGGTGTAGTAAAATTTTTGTGTTAAAACCTAAAGCCTCTCAATTTTACATTTGTATTTATTACATTAATTATTTAGAATTAAAATAAAAAATACATTTTATTAAAACAGTTGGACAAAAACTTGTTGAAAAATAGTAAGTTGATACTATGAGGCAAAAGATTACATCAACAACAAGAAAATTTAAAAATCTCATTTTGAATGAAAAACAACTGCTTAAATTTTCACGCAAAGTAGTAAGTATCTTCACAAACTGTTAACTATTCAATAGTCGTTTTCATAGATAAACGACTTATCAAAAAAAAAGAAAGCGTAAAGCTAAAATATTATGCACTGCCAACCATTTTTAAATATACTTATCTTCAAATTAAAAACATTGGCGTATTTCGCAACCTTCGGTATATACATATACCTTAACACAGAAATTCTACGTTAATAGAATGTCGAAAATATTGTAAACTAAAAACTCTTATTCAAAATAAAAAAATACAAAAGCGACTGCTTCAGAAAAATGTTATATAAAAAAATCGCTCCAATGAAAATTGGTTATTTAATTATTATTTCATTCTGTTTTACATACATTACATTGCGGTTTTTTGATAAACTTGGCTTGACTTTGGCTTTAATTTAACGTAAAAATAAAGGTCATGAAAGTATTTAGCTGTTGCACAGTCATTTCGGTAATCGCATAAAATGCATGTATTTAGTTTGTAGACGTCCCTCACAATACTTTAAAAGTTAATGAGTATTTTGAATATCTATCCACAAATCCAATTTTGCTTCGTCGAATAACATTGAGAATAGGAACAGACTCATTATCGACTGTTATTTGTAAAATATCTTAATATTAGTTCTTTAATGATGTCATTTAAGTTGTCTGGTGTTATTACTAATCGTACTGTTTCTTTCGCTTCTTCTTTTCGATTTACACCTGACCAGAAGAGTCAGTATCCCTTATACATTCTTGTCATACCTCTTCATTTCTTTTTTGTTTCCGTAATTCCTAGTGTATCCACTTTATATTTTAACATTTCTCTAGCAATTCCTCTTCTTTCCTATACGGGCGTCTGGAAAACGACGGATTAATTTAAACCAATCTGAGGTTCTAGGTATTCCTGCTTGGAAAGAATTTGAAAGTGCTTTGGAGCCTCTAGTGTCTTATATTATAATAATTTAATTAAATTTCTTAGAGGATACGTCAAAATCAGTCTTAACAGGTACTAGACCCACCCACCTGCCCTATTTTTTCTTAGAGGATATCTCATTTGCCAAAATCAGTCTTAGTTTAGCAGCTATTAGCCCCACCCACCCACCCTCTTTTTTCTTAGAGAATATGTCATTTGCCAAAATCATGTTTTATCGTAACAGGTGCTAGCCCCACCCACCCGCCCTTTCTTTTCTTAGCGGATATGTCAACTGCCAAAATCAGTCTTATTTTAGCAGATATTAAGCCCACCCAGCTGCCCTCTCTTTTCTTAGAGGGATGTCATTAGCCAAAATCAGTCTTATCTTAGCAGCTACTAGTCCTCTAAGAAAATATAGGGCGAGCGGGTGGGGCTAGTACTTGCCAAAAATAAGACTAATTTTGGCCAATGACGTACCTTCTAAGAAAAAAGAGGGTGGACGGGGCTAGATAAGACTGATTTTGGCAAATGACACATCCTCTAAGAAAAGGGAGGGTGGGTGGGTGGGCGGGGCTAGAACCTCTTAAGATAAAACTGATTTTCGCAAATAACATATAGACATTGGTATTACATTACTATCAGATTATTTTAGTTGGACATTATTTCGAATCTGGTGAGCCAATTTTTGCAAACAAGAACTAAATCTGTTTACATTATCGTCCGGGTAAAACCGGACGTTTGATAACCGTAGACATTTTAATCAACCGACTTCAGGCAATTTCTGGGGATATACGTTTTGTTAAGAATAATACAAATATATCAGGATTTCACTTTATTTAATTAAGATATAATTGGCCTTTAGTACTGGTGCTTAAAACAAAACCCTAGAACGAACAAGGAAAACATCGAACCTGCAGTGCAGAAAACGTGCTAAAATCAATTGTAATCCATAATAAATGAAAACATTCTTAGTCAAGGAGTCGGTAAGTAACTACTAGAGATGTACCGACTGCAGTCGGCCGACTAGTCGGCTTTGTCAAAACCGGTTAAAATTAGTTTAATCGACCGAAAATTGGTGTCAAAGTGTAGATAATCTTCCGCTAGTTACGATTCTGAAATCGCCGTCACGATATATGGTCCAATAAACACGCAGAGCGAATTCAAAATTTCCAAAAATTTTCCAAAAAAGTGGTTAAAATTGGTTAAGTATTGTATAAACTGCCCTAAATTGTGTTATTCTTTATTTTTGTACTGAGTTACTACAACAAATTAAATGTTACAATTATCCAAAAAAATTTAACACATTTTTTGGAAAAAAAAGAAACTTCAGTTATTCCTTTTATTAAAATAAAACAAGTTTTTAAGGTAGTCAGAGAAATAGAAAAAAAAACACTGTCTGTTGCATTTATAAACAGTCGGCCGACTGTAGTCGGCACATCTCTAGTAACTACTCATCTTTATTTTCAAGAATGAAGTTTTTTATAGCTGAAACATTCATGTACACATCTGGTACCTTTCGACCGTTACATGCGGTCCCAAACGCCAGAATTCCATGCAATACACCGTTTACAACGAACCCTGCACCATCGTCGCCTGGACACTTATACTGTTCCGAGTCCCCACGCAGCATTCCTGCGCAAAACATCCTTTCTGGTTCTACGTGATATTTTTCAGGTTGTCCTTCGTAAAAACCGACGCATTTTTCTTGGGAATACAGGGGTGCGTCAATGCCAATTAAACGCACGCTTTCGTAGTGCGTGATAAGGCCTCTGAAATCTCTTCCTTCAGTTAGTCCAAACCCAACCACTCTGCCGATCTTGTCCGGCGTAACTGGTTCCTCTGGAATGGTTGCTGGTTGAATGTTCTTCGAAAACTGTAGTGGCTCCTTTAGAAATACGAGCGTGACGTCGTAATCTGTTGAGTTGGGATTATATTCTGGATGGTCGACGTGATGGTCGACCTCAATCAATTCTCCTGCTTCGCGACGAAAGGTGACTCCAGCTTGCATAAAAAATTTGTTGGTTCTTGGCCTTTTAAAATATTTGTCATAGAAACAACTTGCAACTGTAACTGCGACTTTGGGTCCAATGATTGTGGCACCACAATGCAGCATGCGTGGTGATTCGTCGGGTTTCGTTTGCTCCAGTAGAATAGCGTGATAGGGACAATCAATGACGTAAGGTTCATATCCTTTGTAGAAAGCCATTACTGTGCAATAAGAATAAGCTCAAAAAATTTCACTATTCACTCAAAGTTATTTCTTTTCAGCGAAAAAGCATTAAAAAAATACTAACCTGATACTGTTAGGTAAAAGGCTGTGCCAACACCAAGAAAATTTGAACATTTCATGTTGGAAAACAAGAATGAAGTAATCCTAAATGTTCACTCGAGGAGGCTTTAATACTGCAGCGTTATCAAACTTTTGTTAAGTGCAACGTATAAAGATGTTTTTACTTAGTAGATAACAGTCACTAGTTAGTTATAGTTTTTGTAATAACAGTTCAACTATTGTTTTGTTGCAACAGCAAAGAAATTGTTTTCCACAAGCCGGGACGCACTTTGCTAATTATAATTGTGTCTTTTTGGATAAATTCTCGAAATTAAGTTGTTTTTGACTATGATGGTCAATGTGTCGACAGGATTGTCATATATATATATTTTCTAAGCCTAGGTTGAACACAATTTTTAGTGTATTTATGAATATTTACAGACGAAAAACTTTGAAAAAGGGATGACCAAACAAGTTTTGTCCGCAACTCTTTTTAAGTCAATACTTTCATAAATTTTTTGTTCAAATACTATTTGTTGATATGTAGTTACACAAATTGATAAATATATATATTCAGGTAAATTTTTCGTCTTTCATTAGATCTTGTTTTACATTACGGTGGACTTGCCTGTTAGGGTCACCAATATGGAAAAATATCACGACCGGAGTGGGACTCGAACCCGTATCTCCCCAATTGCTGAGAGGGAGTTTTACCGTTAAACTATCCGGCACCTAGAAGGATCTGATGATGAAGTTTACAAAAAAGAAAATAATAGCAACCATTGTTAAAATATTGCGCATTTACTAAGTAGGTATGTATATATAAGTAAACAATTATTTTTATAGATAAAATTTTATCACTAAAAAGTAGTGGACCTTTACAACAGCTTATTAAATGTTATATTCCACAACTGTAATGACGGTTCGATAAGGTGGAATAAGTGCCATAATGATAATTCGTAACTGAACCCATGAGTTTTAGTGATCACACTTTAACAATGCCTCGGAAGCAGCGGATCATCATAACAATAGTGTTATGATGATCGGTGAATTGAAATCGGTGTGGGTTAAACTCAAAAATTTATTTCTTAATAACTCTAATTACATGACTGATTATTACACAGCTATTATGTAGAAAATAATTCCGACGCAACTTGACTGCACCCTCGTGTACTTATATTTTGCATTTTTTCTTAAAATACGTAGTCGTCTTTTCAGAATAAGAACCTTAAAACGTGCTTGGAATGATAAATTCTCGTAGACAAATATGGATCTTGCAATTAAGCCATGCCCCTCGATCTGACAACGAATAAAAAATTCATCACAATTAAGAGCTGAGATCGGGGCGGGTATGGATAGGATCTAATCTTCGGCTTTATTTTTTTCTTAATATACCAACGTAGTATTCTTTGAACAACACGATACTCAAACCATGTTTGTAATTTCTCGTAGAAAAATAACAATTTTTCAATTAAGCTCGGCCCCCTTGGCTCACGACGAATAAAATAAATCATCAGAATTGCCGTGAACCAAGTGGGCAGACTTTAACTGCAAATTACTTATTTCTTTACAAGAAATTAAAAACATGTTTTTGAGTATTGTGTTGTTCAAAGAATACTATGTATATTAAGAAAACAAGGCAAAATATAAACCCCGCCCACCAACCCTTTCTCGATTGTGACGACTTTTTTATTCTTAAACACTTAAAACTCGTTTATAATGGTAAATTTTTGTAAGGGAATATGGATTTTGCAATTAGGCTCCGCCCCTAGGTCTGCCAACGAATGAAAACTTCATTACTTTTTAGATCAGGGTTGGTATGGTTGGGGCTTAATCTTTGGTTTTAATTTTTTCTTAATATACGTAGTATTCTTTGAATAACACAATAATTTCTTGTAGAGAAATAATAAGGATTTTGCAATTAAATTCCGGTCCTTTGTCTCTCGACCATTTAAAAAAAAATCATCACAATCGAGGTAGGCTGGGTGGGCGGGGCTTATATTTTGCCTTTTTTCTTAATATACGTGGTCGCCTTTTCACAACAAGAACTTTAGAACGTAGTTAGAATGGTGAATTCTTGCAGACAAATATGGATCTTTCAATTAAATCCCCCCCGCTGGGATCGGGGCGGGTATGGATGGGCTTTATTTTTTTCTTAATATACGTAGTATTCTTTGAACAACACGATATACAAAACGTGTTTTTAATTTCTTGATATGTCTGTGGGAAAGCAGAGAAAAATGTTGTGCCTCGGTGGGATTCGAACCCACGTCTCCAAGCAATCCGGGCTGGTATGCTAACCGCTACACCACAAGACAACTTATCTTTACTCTGCTTTACCCGCGTGTTATTGTGCCGCCACAGTACTCCCCCCCCAGCGACACAGCGCGCGGTCGTGCTGGGGTGCGAAGGAGATAGTTGCTGGCGTCGCTCCTACCACTCTTACGGTCGTTGTTCGAACCCTGGCGGTGCTGCGGACCCCGAACACAGCGGGCACAGGGCGGTGGCAGAAGGATGTTGCGTGCGCGTTGCCTGTCGGAGGTCACCAATGTGGGAAAGCAGAGAAAAATGTTGTGCCTCGGTGGGATTCGAACCCACGTCTCCAAGCAATCCGGGCTGGTATGCTAACCGCTACACCACAAGACAACTTATCTTTACTCTGCTTTACCCGCGTGTTATTGTGCCGCCACATGTCTTTCGAGGTTGTCTTGATCCACAAATCTCCATTGTTCACACTGGAAATAAAGGGTGGGTGGGCGGGGCCAATACTTACCAGGAACTAGCCCTCTAAGAAAATAAAAAGCGGGTAGGCGGGGTTAGTACTTCCTAAGGTAAGACTAATTTTGGCAAATGACATATAGACATTGGTATTACATTAATAGATCATTTTTTTAGTTGGACATTATTTCGAATCTGGTGAGCCAATTTTTGCAAACAAGAACTAAATCTGTTTACATTATCGTCCGGGTAAAACCGGACGTTTGATAACCGTAGACATTTTGATCAATCGACTTCAGGCAATTTCCGGGGATATATGTTTTGTTAAAAATAGTACAAATATATCAGGATTACACTTTATTTAATTAAGATATAATTGACCTTTAGTACTGGTGCTTAAAACTAAATCCTAAAACGAACAAATAAAACATCGAACCTTGCAGCTACAGTGCTTAAAACGTGCTGAAATCAATTCTAATAAAAAAAAAAATGAAAATATTCTTAGTCAAGGATTAGGTAAGTAACTACTGATCTTTATTTTCAAGAATGAAGTTTTTTAGAACTGAAACATTCATGTATACATCTGGTATCTTTCGACCGTGACATGCCAGCCCAAACGCCAGAATTCCATGCAATGCACCGTCCACGATGAAACCTGCACCCTCGTCACCTGGACACATATACTGTTCCGAGTCCCCACGCAACATTCCTGCGCAAAACATCCTTTCTGGCTCTACGTGATATTCTTCAGATTGTCCCTCGTAAAAATTGACGCATTTTTCTTGAGAATACAAGGGCGCGTCAATCCCAATTAAACGCAGACTTTGGTAGTGCGTGATACCGCCTTTGAAATCTCTTCCTTGAGTTAGTCCAAATCCAACCACTCTACCGATTTTGTCCGGCGTAACTGGTTCCTCTGGAATCGTTGCTGGTTCAATGTTCTTCGAAAACTTTAGTGACTCCTTTAAAAATACGAGTGAGACGTCGTAATCTGTTGAGTTGGGATTATATTCTGGATGGTCGACGTGATGGTCGACCTCAATCAATTCTCCTGCTTCGCGACGAAAGGTGATTCCAGCTTGCAGAAAGAATTTGTTGGTTCTTGGCCTGTTAAAATACTTGTCATAGAAACAACTTGCTACTGTAACTGCGACTTTGGGTCCGATGATTGTGGCACCACAATGCAGCATGCGTGGTGGTTCGTTGGGTTTCGTTTGCTCCAGTAGAATAGCGTGATAGGGACAATCAATGACGTAAGGTTCATATCCTTTGTAGAAAGCCATTACTGTGCAATAAGTTAAAGTTATTGCTTTTCAGCAAAAAAGCATTTCGATGCCAAACAGGAATAAAGAAACAAAAAATACTAACCTGATACTGCTAGGTAAAAGACCGTGCCAACACCAAGAACATTTGAACATTTCATGTTGGAAACCAATAGTTAAATAATGCTAAATGTTCACTCGAGTACGCTTTAATACTTGCAGCGTTATCAAACGTTTGTTAAATTCAACGTATAAAGATAGTTTTACTTAGTAGATAGCAGTCATTAGTTGTAATTTTTATAAATAACAGCTTAACAACTATGCTATTTGTCTTTTTTTGGATAAATTTGCGAAATTAAGTTGTTTTTGTGTCGACAAACTTGTCATTTATATACGAGTAGGGGAAACCAGCCTATGATGGCATGTCTTCAAATTTTTTGGACCATTTGAATTTCGCGGTCAAATCACCTGTTCAAGATGCTGTTCTTACTGGTACATGAATGTCTACAAAGCAGTGTGAGTGTAGGGCTGTTTCTTGAAAGGCAGAAAAATAAATGAAATATTGTTGACTCTAGAAGTAAGTTTTACACATTAATCAAGTTGAAATCATGTTCTTAATATGCTTAACTCAGGGGACCAATTTAATTCATGTTTTCTATACATGTGACACATGTAATACAGGTGCCAGTTTAGGGTTATGTTGTAAATAAAAAAATACAGAGATTGATTTTAATAAAACCTCGAATTTCCCTATGATGGCATACCAAAGCTTTTCCTTTGATGGCATAGTATGCCATCATAGGCATAAGGTTTTGACTCTCATAAAAACTGAGAAGTCTTTTTTATGACAGAGGAATGTCACTTACAGCCTCAAGTACAATGTCCAGTAAGGCTAAGAGACAATTATGGGAGGAAAAAAACATGGCAATTAGCGTCCAAAATCTTCAATGTCCCTGCTACCACATTGCGCAGAAGATTTAAAAACAATTGTAACAGTACCAAAGGAGATTTGGGGGGTAAAAGACCAGTATTTAGTCGGAAGATGGAAGATCAATTTGCTCAACATATAAAGGATATGGAAGCTAAATTCTTCGGTTTAACATTAAAGGATTTAAAGAAGTTAATTTTCGAATTTGCATCTAAAAATAATATAAAAAACCCTTTTAACAAAGAAAAAGAAACAGCTGGTGATAAATGGTGTAATAACCCAAACTTCCCGCCTTTAAATTGACCTTGAAACAGTTTGAAAGGCCCGCGAAAAATTTAAAAATTCAAAGTTTGGCCTTGGCTGTGATCGTCTAACAAATAGGAACCTACGTTGTGTGTTTTTTTTTTTTAATGGCGGGAAGACGTTCTTTCATACAAGTGAGCATATACTGCATGTGAGTTGAGAGCGCAAGAAATAATAGACAAAATTAGGGAGGTCGAAATCCTTCCTTAGGGGGAAAAGAAACGAAGAGCGACACTGACTCAGCGTACCCTTCTGGTGACTTCGCAGGGCCACGGCGTCATCGTTCTTCATTCCCAAAAACCCCCTGGGGTTTTATTTACCGAAATATTACATTTCAAACACCCTAAGATATATGAAAGAAAACACTCGCGAATTGACACACATACACATATGAAAAACGAACAAACGGAAATTCTATACATCTGTTTGGAATCAATGCAAATATTTGAATATCACAAATTTAATAAAACAAAGCAAAATCCGACTTAAGTAACTGGACGCAAATACACAAGCTATTACAGGCATGTGGCGGCAGATCCCGGCAGCAGTTGACAGGAGCACAACAAAAGTACCCCTGGAGCGTTGTAGCATAAGCGGAGTTTGGGCTACCGGTCTGCAGCTGTTCTCCCCCCACGACGGTGATTCTATCTATCGCAAAGCCTACCCCACATGCATATCTCCATTACGAACGTGCCCTGCGGAACTAGGCCATTACGGTCCTCCGACCCGCAAGAGATCTCGACTATGTGCAGAAGTCGAGAAATTTACAACATCGGCGGCCGCCCCTGAATCTATCCAAATCTGTGGACTTGTACTACAGGTGGCATGATAAATCTCGCCAGCTCGACTAGGAACCGAACTTCGCTTCTGCCACGTTTTCTGTGTCATTTAACCTCAATTTCATTTTAAAATATTCAATCTCTCATAACTCTGATGTCAACAACAACTGAACAAGTGTTAAAGTTTCAACGAGCAATAAACAACATTTAAATTCGCCATATAATCTTATGAAATTCTAAACAACAAATAAATCTTATGTGAGATAAAAATTGGACATCAAACAATTTATGATAGAAACATTCATCAACAAAATATTTACAAAACAAAACTTAGCAAGGATTTATGAAACAGAAGATCTGGTGTGAAATAAACTTGTGCAAGTAAATATTACGTGAGGTTAGAACTGTAGAACATGAAATTTACGTTCAATTAAAATTATACAACAAATAAAATTACTGAGGTTAAAATTGTGAGATTAAGAAATATAGTATGAGGTGGTAAAATTGCAAGTTAACAAAATTTACAGGAGATTGATATTTGCCACACTTTATCAACGGTTCAAACAAAGAGTTTATATTATATTAAATTATGTCTTGATCTAAGTGATTGGTTACTTCAAAAAAACAATTTACTTTGGGAGTTTAAAATACCGCGAACTGGTTACCCCAACAAAACACATAATAAACAAACACAGAAATATCCAATCATCGCTCCGAGGGAAAAAGCGTCTCGGTGATGTAAATTTTAAAATCGTTGCGAGGAAAAAGCGTCTCGGTGATGTAATCAATCTGTAGCGTTGAGAGGGCATGCCTTGATAAATTAATCAATCTGTAGCGTTGTGATGGCATGCCTCGATGAATTAATCAATCTGTGGCGTTGTGAGGCATGCCCGATGAATTAATCATGATAACGATGATATGCGCCTAAGGGAAGAAAACATTTTAAACCCCTCCCTCCAGTTCGCAGTATAATGAACTTGTTTAGCTGCCGTAAATGACTTATTAGCAATCTTGTGTGAAGAATTTAGAAGTGTTATAATGTAACACTTACGTATATGCATCCAGAGACCTATTCGTAATTAAACATAAGGTGTTTTTCCTGACTAAGTGAATTTCATGAAATCTTCTAGCAAATGGTTAATTTAAGTAATCCTGATTGTTAGATTGTGTTTGCACTAGCTGACTATTAAGAAAAACTAACTTGATTGGTGAATTTACAAACAAAGAAACAAATTTACAGCACGTGTCCGCGTCGGCCGGAAGTCCGCATTTCTCCGATTAAAAAGGGGCAAGAATTAACCGTGCGGTTTGGGGACAACAAGAGTGACGTCAGTTACGATTGATTGTCGTTAAACAAAGGCTTCCTCCCATTTTATTAACTACCAAACCAACTAATTTAAACCTAGCGCTTACCACGTGTTTACACTCTCACAAGCACACTCATAATGAATCTACGCCATGCAGCTTCTCTCTCTACCAACCAACCTTCTAACTCAAAACTCCCTAGCACTATAACTAAACCTTGCAGAACAAACTTGGTGCACAGATTACGGATACCAGATGGTTCACTTGTGGGCGTAACTGTCCGCAAATTTTCCGTGCGCATGACACTAAAATTGGTTCAGCACTTTTAAATCTCTTTGAAACTGGTTCGACAGATTAACACGCAAAATAATATTTACAATGAAGCAGATATAAGAATAAAAGTTTAGGTAATAATTCAGGGAATAAATAACATTACAAGGATTAATTTCTACGTTTTTTGGTTACGAAGGGATTTTTTAAAAGTTTTAAAATAATCAGAAAATTAGTTAAATAAATACCTACCTGCATTAAACTGAGTATCATAGTATCGTTTAGTAAATATATCTTGTCTATAATGCCGGATTTTGTAAATGAATAAGAGAATAAAATATTTTCCCTTCGTTTCCTTTAAACTCGTTTCAGTCTTAAATAACCACCTAAAATCGAAGATCACTATAAAGACGAGTAGATTAGAAAACTGTAACAACAAAGTTCAGAAAGGCAAGCGCAGCAAATTTCATTAACTATTCCCTCCAATTCTTCTAACTTTCGGTAACCCTTTAAGCCGTATAGTTAAAGAGGTTACGTTTATTCACCATGCAAAAATTTTAACACCACTTTCTTGTTAGCACTATATTCGAGAATACGTGTTTTTTATGCTCTAAAATTTTTTAATGCCGATGCATGTGTCCGCATTTCTTTTCAGAGGAAATTGTGAAATGTTAAGCATTTGTAATAATCATAAATCATTTTGTGTAAGGCAAATAAGTATTTTGTTCGTTTTTTCTTCACTTAGAACCTCATCCCTTGCATAATCGCTGTAATTTTTCTCTGACCGCCGCGTTTTTAAATTCAAAGCTTGCGAACCAATTTTGGTAGAGCGTGCGTAGTAGCGTGAATACTAAAGTCACTGGATATATAAAGTACCGCAATCATCCGCCATTTTCGGGCAAAACTACCCGCCAATTTTAAAATTTTGCAATTTTAAATGCTATCCAATTTAAAAACAGTAAGAATCCAACTTGAAATTGGGCTCTACAGCATTTCCAATTGTATTTTAGAGAAAAGATGAAGTTGATTTCAGATAATATAACTTGTAATTTAGATTAATCAGTTCCATTTCAGAAAGCATCAACTGAAATTAAGATTAACTAATAGTTCTATTTCAGAAACCGTCAGTTGAAATTCAGATTGCATCAAATGTAATTAATATAATTGTTAGCCATTCCCATTTTCATCAGAACAGGGTCTACCATTTCATAACAATAATTGATTTCTATCATGTTTCTAGGCATAGTTATTTCTTATTTACATTTATTACAACTGTGAATTTATGAAAAATGAATTTATTAATAAATAGTGCTGTTTTGGTATTGGAAAAAGATTACGGTGATACATTAAACATTATATTGTAAGGATCCAATTCGAATTTTTAAATTTCAAACGAATTCCGCGCGCACAAGAAACGGTTAGTGAGAAGAAGGAGAGGTTGGCAACCAACCACCCCAAAGAAACAGACATGCGCAAAGCGAGGGTGATTTTGTTTCTTGTAAAACAGAGCACTTCGCTTTGACCGCTTGGAACAAACGGTCGACTTCCTTTCGAGCGCTTCGAGCAACAGGTTGTATTTTTGATTGTGAATTATTCTGTGCCTTTTGCT